GATCAGATTCTCCCACACGATCGAATCACATACACATTGAGCCAGGGCACGATTGTACAAGCCCCGTTCGAATGTGGCCATGTTAGTAAACAACTGAAACACGTCGTCTTGAATATGGCTCCTGAATTCTCCACCCCCACTGTCGATGGATGCTATTTAGTGCGCACGAGGGGTCCTCAAGCTGCACTAACATCAGACGACTGTTGCCTGTTCATGTGTCATGCTGCTCAAGCAGAACTTGGTTGTAAAGTCAAGTGTCAGCTTTATTGAAACCACTGACCTCTGGCTTTTAGCCAGGCTAATAGTCTTTTCTCTACACCTCTCCCTTCTGTAGAAACCGATGCCACTGAAAGAGGCCCCTGTTAAAAATTACTGCTGTTTACAGATGCCCCAAAGAGTAAGAGATTCATTTTCCATAGTCTAACTTTATCCTTCTCCTCACTATCATTTTCCTCCCCCCTAGTCCTCCCCCTTTTGTAACACACAGTACGATGTGTATGCATCACGAAGGTCCATAGAGTGTATCAGTGCCACACATATTGACATAATCCACTTCAGGGAATAGCGATAAGAAAGCTGGGGTTGCAATATGAGCCATATTTATTTTTGGTAGTAAACTCATGTTATTATTGTAAAACACATTATTTTATCAGGCACAGTGATGCTCATCGATATCTGTCTGCTATTCATGCCGATCTGTTTGATATCACTTGTGAATGCCAGTATTACCTGCATACTCACGAGCATGAAACTCACACCAGTGCATGCATACATAATGTATGTGCATTAATTTTTTTGTTATCCATCAGATATATATTTTTAGAAACAGTATAGTAGTCTTACGCTTGATTTAGTGACCATTTTAATGTGATTGGTCAAGCCCTGCATTTCAAGAGATGTATTTTCTCTAAAACCCTAGCTTTTATTTAGCTTTAAAGGCAGTTTTGTGGGATCATTCCTCCCTAAATATATTCTGTTTCCCCTTCCCTTTCTGTCTTAAGCTTTGATTGTGTGTTTGATTGAACATATTACACTTTATGTGTTTTTTCGATCTCCAATGATCCCGATCTGTTCCACAGGAGCCGATGAACGAGCAAAACTTTGACACTTATGTGAGCACTTTGACAGATATGTACACTCACCAGGACCAGTACCAGAGCCCGGAGAACAAGGCCCTCTTGGAGAACATAAAGCAAGCGGTTCAAGGCATCCAAGTGTAGCTTTGCGACTGTAATGGGGTCATGTGATCAGAGCGTTAAGAAACAAAAGAAACCCATCATGTAAAAAGTATGGATAACTAGTATGATTTTTTTGCTGCTGTAATTTATTGCATTATTTGGCATTATTTATGATTCTGTTATGCTTTTGACAAAAAAATACATAACTTATTTGTTGCCTTGCTTTAAGATGACGACTACCGATGGCAAATGTTTGGAGGACCATTCATGTTTTGTACATTTTTCATATGACCTGACATAATGTGATGTACTGTTTATAGCTGCTAATGTATGCACATTTTAGTGTATATGTATTTATTAATTGTAAACAAAAACCATCCATTATTTTAAATCTAAAGAGGTGCAGAGGGGATACATTGAGGGAATGTAAGGGCAATCAGCTTCAATCTGAGCTTCTCTTTATGGAGCTAATGAGAACTAATGTGCTGTGCAGGCTGTTCAATGGGTGTACAGTGATACATTTTTGTGGTTCGATTTTGGGTACATTTTGTAAAAATATTGAGAAACGTGTCTTTTGGTTCCGAAATCATATTTATAGTGGTCACTGTGGGCACTCTAATGCAGTATGTGTATTGTTTTTATTTTTGCTTGTTTGTTTGTTTTTTTTATTATTTTCTCGTTTTAATTCCCGAAATAGATGGAAAAATAAGAAAAAAAATTGTGAATGCAAACATCATGACACGGAAACTCACTGGTGTAAATCCCAAGAAGTATTTCATAACTTTTCAAATGTTTTCAAAGTCCATTCTCTAAATGTAATGCTGGTTAAGGCCAATAACTACAGAAAATTTCAAGGAGACAATCCAACATTAATTCTTAATTTAATGATCGTAAAATGTTAGTGGTAGTATGATAGAATATCAGCAATATATGATAACCAATCAATCATTTATTTAGATATGGGATGCAAAAGTTTGGGTATATGCAATTTCTTATTCTTACCATAGTAGAAAGCTGATGAATCTTTTTACTAAATGTAAAGTATTAAGTTTTATATAAATCTTTTAATACAGTCATGTTTTAGGGTTTAAACATGGGTGATCAAGTCCAAAAGGATGAATGCATTATGATTTCACATTTCTCATGTTCGATTTTGCACAGGGACACCTTTGTTTCCATGTTTTGGTGTTTTTATTTGTTTCGGGAGACCAAGGAGGTGCCCAGACGTTTGAATTGTGGGAAGTTTTTTTCTTTTGAAGGAAGTAAATCTGTGTGAATGGTAGTTTATCAGTGTGCTGGATATACAGGGTTAATGTCACCACCCATACGACATTGTGTCATAGTAATGGAGCACTTGTCTTGTAGATTTTGTCCAAACAATCATGTAGAGATTCATCTGGTCACGAGTGCACAACAAATACGACTATATCAGCAATGCAAGCTCATCATATTACAATTAGTGAACTCCAATCAATTATACAGTATTAAGAGAGGTCAGCTGGCCTTCTGTGGTAACCTGCGATTCACTTTCATCACTCATTTTTTACGTTTCTGAGAAATCAGCGGCACTTTAAGCTCTAAGAATTATGGAAATTGAAGCAGGAAGCATTTTTGATAATTAGACGATGAAACGGCGTGGCACGGGTCTAGATTATAGTTGCGCATGGGCAGTTTCAGTCGTTCAGAGGGTGGTTTACTGACACGACCAGTTCATATTCCTCCATAATATTTTAAGGACATGTACAGTCTGGGAACCCCCCTTTCATTTTTATTTAGTCAAAACCCATTCAAAGCATCAAGCAAAGTCACAAATAGGGCTGATTTTCAGTGGTGGATTTTAAAGTTGTTTGTATTTATCGAGCATGAGTCGAAACTGTCACGGTGATTTTTAGTGTGAAATGACTCTGGTTGTTGCTGTGATGCTCTACATGGGGCTTTGCTTCAGAAATCTATGATTTTGTATTATTATTACGGCTAGCATTATGTTTTCCAAGAGCTCATGCAAATGGTGCTAGTCACTCTTATTTATCGTTCTGTAATATCCAGACATCTCTTCCCCGACCACAGCACATTTCTCTCTCCGAAAGCTTTGTGTATGCAGCTTATTTCCAAGATAAAAACGCTTTTCACACTGATAGCAAAATACAATATCCTCTCATTCACTATAATAACTGATTTGACAGGAAAGGGGATTTTAAGCACAATTCCACTGCTCATTTTCAGTTGGCACATATTGTACTATCTACTTCAAAAGGTTATCTGTGACTATTTAACTAGAAAACTCTATCTATGGTGTCACATGCTTGAATGCAGAATACTTTTCTTATTAATAATTGCGAAATCATCAGGTTACAAGTTTCCATTTCAAATGGATTTTAATTAACCATTTTAAACCAGGATTTTTCTATTAAAAAAGAAAGAAAGAAGCATAGCTTTCTTAATGTCTCTTGCTCTCTTCCTCTATCCAGCTCTTTAGCTATCTTTTTCTCTCTCATTTTTATTTTTCAACCACATGGCATGATTTCTGTTGGTATGACACTTTTTTTGCTCTAAGTGTTTAAGATCACAAGTTGCAGTGATATTTCATTTTGAAAATGTGAAATTTGTACAATTTTTATCATGCTGGTGTTGACATCTCTTACTCAATAAAACTTGTGTTGCCACATTACATGTCCCTTTTATTCAACGTAGGTTCGCAATTACTTTTTTAAAATTATGTTACATCATTATCTGATTTGCATCAAGGAGGTCTATATGATACCTGGAGTAAAAAAAATGCATCAGTCTCAGTGGCAGTTGCCTGGAAGTACAGTATGTGACCTGGAGGCTATCATCTTTGCTTATGGGCGTTCATGTCATGTGACTGATCATGCCACAAAGGCAGCAGAGATAGAAAAATTAGACATTACAGTCCATTACAAAATAGCCCTGCAGAAATTATATGTTCTGCTTGCAAAACATCTACAATAAAATAATGAAATACTAAATATTTTTATGATGCTTGGAAATGTGTTTATTTTGTCAGAATACTCAAATGCTTTTGAATAGCCCTTAATGACAAAACAGGCCCTTTACAATTATGATGATAGCCTACTAAACCAGTTAGATATCTTGTTAATTCTCTTACCATTGTGTAGCTATGTAGTCTAGCTATAATTAATAGTCATTGATATGGCATACCCTTAATAGAAATTTTATAGAAATAGAAATTAAAAATTACAACATTGGCATATATATAGGAGAGTAGATGGTAGGACCTACTACATAACAGGAATGACCCAAATATATTGTATAATTTTGCCCTCTTTTAGTTATAGTTATATAGTTAAATACAAAGGCATACTTTGTATTTTATGTTTTTGTGCTTTTTCAGAAATACAGATCTTTTTAAGTCAATTTGTTGATTTTTTTGTCATGGAGAAAAAATGGAAGTAGTCACTGAAAACGTTTGACACGAACAATTAAAACTAACTACAGTTACTTCTACTTAGAAGTAAATTATAACTACGTTGAAGGCTTGACTCATGAATATTAATTAGAGAGCGTATCGAGACCCCGCAGGACAATCATCAAGCATCTTGACAATGACCTTTTTAATATTCATGAGCTAAGGGGAGCTCTATGTCTAATAGGCCTACCTGCAGAGAGCTATCTGTTCGGATTCCCATTTGTCCTAATGGCAAGAGGGACTAACTGCCGAATCAGACAGAGCAGACAAATCTTGAACCGCCGGTTGTTTGAACATATTAAGTGTAGTAGCACAACTTCACAAGCATACAGTACCTCCATAATGAACCCATGTGTAATGCCGTGGACAGCCGCCAGGGTGCGCAGGTTTCCAGCCTATAGTCACATGACACGAACTGAAGATGTCTGCGACGGAAGAGGACACGGAACTCAGAGATCTACTGATCCAAAACTTGGAAAACAGCGGTGTTTTGAATAAAATTAAGGTATTTTCCTGTCTGTTTCGAAACAATTTTTAAGTCTTTATGAGGCTGGAGTAATCTCTGTCTCATATGGGACATATTTTATATTCTAAGTGCAATGTTTGTTAGCATAGCATAGTGATGCTAAAGTTGTTATGGGCAGCAAATGGACAACAGCCAATGGTGTGACAACATTGAGTTATGACACTGCTCTCTTATAAAACCTGTTTTTCCTCATATCACTAAAGATGAGACCTACAGTGTTATTGTTTATCTTGGCTGTATTAAATCAAAGCATGTTTTCTAGTTAACAGGTGTTGGTTTATTTTATTTTGGTAAGGTGTTGTACTCACAGGTATTAAGGAAGTCATCTAAAATGATCAGGCCAGAAGTAATCTGGTTTAACCTGTAATATGATAATTGCCACTGATCATATGCCGTAGGCCTATTTGTACATAAAGGTGTTTCTCCGTTGACTCTGCAGTTTAAATTGCATATCTGTGGTTTGAGCGGTTCTGATTCACTGTATGAGTCTGTTTGGTGCTATACTGTTATAAATATGACTGAATAAAGGATAAATGAAGTGATGATAGGTCTCTTTTTTTGGGTTACAGGCGGAGCTACGTGCAGCTGTTTTTCTTGCCCTAGAAGAGCAGGACAAAGTTGAGGTAATTATAAATAGTTTTAATATTTTTTTTAAACAATTCATCATAAATTATATATTTTGCTGATTAAATGCTGTTATGTTAACTGTATGTTTTTGCATGAGCATTATTTTACTTGTGCAAGATTCAGTGTGTCATCTAGATGTCAACTCTTTTGAATAGAATAAAACACCTCTTGTGAATGAAAACCTCAAAAAGTCCCTCAACACAAAGGATGGTAAGTATGAATTCCATAAAAAGGCCTTTCGTTATTAGTTTTTTCCGTCTTGTTTTGATGTGATGATGACTTGGGTTGTAATAAACTACACGCTTTTTAAAATCTGGAAAGATTTTAAAACACTAGGCATCATACAATTGCAAACTTGTTAATAGTTATATGAGAAATTACAATGTGTTCTAAAATCAACTCAAAATATGAAACTATTGTTAAATATTCTCTGAATGGATGGAATCATAAAAAATCTGTGCCTATCATACACTACATGATTTTCTGTGAATTATTCTTTTTTTTCATCTGATGTTTTGCTTGCATTTCTAAATGTTTGCTTTGAGAAATTATGCATTTTCAGCATGTCTTGCTCTTCTTGCAGGTCGCTTGGTCGCAGGTCTTGTAACTGACTTCCTGCAAGTCTTTAATTTAGACTTCACCCTAGCTGTGTTTCAACCTGAAATTAGTACGGTATGTCAGTCAGTGTTATATAATATACAACGCTGTAAGTGATACACAGTTTGAAGATGTCATTCAGAAATTCATGTAAATGTTTTTGGATTGATTGATTGATTTGAATGTTCTTGCTCTGCTATGTCCTCTTGTGACCTCAAATCTCTTTCATCTGAACTAACGTACCGTACTATGTGTTATTCAGCTCAATGGGCTTGACAGTCGTGAAACTCTGTCTAAAGAGCTTGGTATATCAGGAACAGAGGTGAATAAAAACACCCCTCTCCTGCTAGAGTTGGTGAAGAGGGGCCGGCATAAGGACAAGACCTCCGTTTTCACAGAGGTGATCTTTGATGTTCTGCATTAAATTAATTTGTGTCTTTCAGATAGTATGACTCTTGTCTTTCTTTTCTCAGGGAGATCGGTTGATTGAGAGAACTTTTCCCAAGGTACTTTACCACCACCGCTGACTGGCTCAGGCCCAGTCCATGTTATCTGTCTAGATATCGCTGTAACCTGATTTTGCACCCACACGTACAGTAAGCACAGGTGGGGTTGATGCACTCTCAGGAACAACTCCAGTCACAGACTAGTAATAGTGCTAACCCACTTATTTCACTTGTGGTTGGAGAGCACATCTCGGGTTGATTCGTATCACCAGTTTACCCACACATCACAAACCCCAGGCAAATTATTCAGGTCACACAAGGGAAGGATGATGTAAATTAACATCTTTAAGTGGTGCTGCAAAAAAGGTTTTCCTGTTAAGATACTTGTGCAAAACAAGCTTGTCCTACTTCTAGACATTTTGTCTTGTTTTGTGGGCACCTTACGTGCATTTGTTTAATCAAGCCCGTAGCGCTGCATGACTGCTGTCATCTCGGATGAGACTTCAAATGCTGAAGTTTCATAGTTGTACATTGTGATATCCTGTCTTATTTGTAAGTGCACAAGCTGAGCACATGTGTCTCAAACATGTGATTTATATGACAATTTTGTATTAAAAATAAATAAATATTAAATTAATCAAGGAATAAAGGACTTGTATAATGATTTTATTCTGAGTGTAATCTGCAATGATTGTAGTAATGTTTGTGAATGTTTTTTAGGAATTGTTGCCCCGTCAAATTGCTGATGCCCGCAAAAAATTTGACAGTCATGACAAGGTAACTTTTTTTATTATTGCTTTTTTATTATTGATTAAATAATAATTAATGCAATATACCATATAATATATAATTGTAAATATTAAAATACTGCTATTTTGAAATGAATATTCATTAGTTATTTTCTTATACTTATTAATTGTATTATTAGTGTGGTCATAAATCATTATAATTATTATATAATAATAAATTGGTAGTTAATAACCAAATGACTAGTTAAATATAAAAAAACCTTTGAGTAATTTATATCTTTTGATTTGACTTCACAGAACAGAAGTGGTGAGATCAACAGAGAAGCCGTTATTGGCATTTTCGCTGATCTTTTTCCCCAGTTCAGCAGGTTTGTTTCAGCATTGTGGACTTTGAATGCCACGAACTCTAGGAAATGCCTGAATTTACTGGTACCGAAACCCTCATTTATGTAATGACTGAATGTGTTTACATCTTCCCACATTGTTGGTTTGCTCTTCTATAATCATGTCTGGTTGAGGTTCATGACGCTGTGGTCATGGTCTTTCTCATGACTTGGGAACAGTGTGTATTTCTGCCAGTGGTGGACGAAGTACACAAATCAAGTACATGAGTAAAAGTACAGATACATATAATACAATATTACTCCAGTAAAAGTACTCCTTTTTCAATTTTACTCGAGTGAAAGTACAAAAGTACTAGATTGTTTTATGTACTTAAGTAAAAAAGTACTGATAGATAGATTTTGCAATTTTATATAGGCTACTTAATGTAATTTTAGGCCATATTTTTTTATAATCCTACTGCTCAAAATACCTGGGGTTTTCCCAAAATAACTACTATATGGAGTCAAGATATATTTTTGTTGTTGGATATGGACTACGTTGACAAGAGTGATGTAATAATGTTCACTGTGAAGCTTACACTGCGATGTACCTGAGAGAAAACAGATTTGACCATCTGATTTTCACCAGTAAGAAAAAAGTGTTTTAAAGCTTTTTGTTTTGCAGAACATCACAGTTATATATGACATGAGAATAAGGCCTGAAGTTAGGAAGAACATTTTAAGGAAAATATAATTCGATTTTCATAATGATTTTTTTCTTCTCAAACCTTGTCTGTGGTGTAAAAACACCCCTGGCCAAATGCCCCCAGAGGGCATCACTTCCCACTTAGATAATTAGATAATTGATCATTGTAGTTACCATGTTCTGAACATCACATCCTTTCTTTTTTTCTCAGATGTTATCTATCTAGGTCAGGGGTGCCCAACCCTGCTCCTGGCGATTGACTGTCCTGCAAAGTTCAGCTCCAACCCTAATCAAACACACCTGAAGCAACTAATTAAGGTCTTCAGGATCACTTAAAAATTAAAGGCAGGTGTGTTTGATTAGAGTTGGAGCTAAACTTTGCAGGACAGTCGATCGCCAGGAGCAGGGTTGGGCACCCCTGATCTAGGTGGTTGAATAAAAATATTTGGACTTTATTTTTTTTAAATTACCTCAATTTAGCACCATCAAGCTCTTTAGACAGTTAGCATCAGCTAACATTATTGACTTATTTTCAGCATGGTTATGAATAAACATTTATATTTGTCTACTCGGCTAGTTGATCCAGATGCATAGTAACTTAGGCTATGTGTGCTGACAAACAATATAAAAACAGACTTCACATAGGGCTAAATGGGTAGCATTTTAATAAAACTGTTAACGTTATGGCAGCGGTGAATATAAATGTGCATGAGTTATTTTATTTAGTCTGTTATTTTAATGTTTCTGGGGTTTTTTAACCTAAAACATAGAGAAACTGATGTTGATGTGTCTGCATTCACATTTCAGTGGGCTTAAATAGATCACCCTTTACAGCAGATTTAGTTCACAAACAACTGACAGTTCTGACCTAAATATGATTTTCAGTTACAATAATTAGCTCTCCCCAGTCTGGCATGAACGGCTCGAATAGTTCCTGTATCAAATGAAGGCCCGCCTTCTGAAATACAAAATGTGCTTTGATTGGTTAGCTGGCCCTGTCTGTGTTGTGATTGGCTCCACTCGGTGCCTGGTCGGGAAATGTCACGCCCCTTACCATAGCCGCCTGTGTGTAAATATTGCGTCAATATCAAATCAATTTGAGCTCGATTTAAACCCGGATGATTGTAACCACTCTAAGTTCGTCTGCCTTGGGAAAGCTAGCATGTCTCCGACATAGTGATAACACTCGTTGCCTTCTCTAGTGCAGCTCAACCAGGTCTCGTCCCATTCGTCGATATTTGTGATATCACAAATCCCGGAAAATATGCATTGTAGTCCAAACGAGTCATTCGTTGTAGTTTTTGAAAAGTGATTTCTGTTAAATAAAATATCTCCTTTTGAATTGGACTTTGAGCTTTGTAACTTTGCAGGTCTTTTTTATGCTCAAACAGCAACATTACAGACTAACTAAAGTTGAAAAAGTGAAAAAGCATAATAGGACCCCTTTAAATCAGTGAATGGTCGACTCGAGAACAGCTGCAATCGGTTCATTCCATAGACTGTATAGGGTTCTAATTCGTGAATGAATCGTTTGGTGCGATTTGCGAACCAATTTAAAAGGTTCATTGAAAAGAATCAGTTCGTTCTTGAATCAGACATCGCTTCTGCGTGTCAGAGCACGTGATATATTATAAGGAGGAACGATATGTTTTATGAAATGTAGTGAAGTAAAAAGTACGATCTTATGCTTTGGAATGTAGTAAAGTAAAAGTTACTCAAAATAAAACTACTCCAGTAAAGTACAGATACTTGAAAAATGTACTTAAGTACAGTAACGAAGTAAAACTACTCCGTTACTGTCCACTACTGATTTCTGCACACGAACCAGAATAAAGGTCTCCTAACAAAAGATCATTTTTAAAGGTCAGTTGATTGTGCTTAATGCACTGTAGCTTTAGCCATTTTGGTTGCAGTTACTGTGAATGGCCACATATTTCATTAATATGTTTGTTTTTTGTCTGCAAATAAAAAGAAACATGCTGGACAGTTACGTCACTGAGGAATTTAGAGCCAAAGGCAAGGACACATGGAATAGTAAGTCTCTGTGATCTTGTTTAGTTTTCAATCATTTAGGGATGCAAATTGTATGTCTGGTAAACTTGTCATTCATTGACAAATAAACTGCAGTAGTTGCTAATAAAATTTTGTCTTCCACTTCTTTTTTTTATTCTTTCTTAACTTTACGTAGCTGTAGACTTTCAGGACTTCCTGGGAATGTACAAATGCTTTTTCACTCAGTGTCGAAGTGTGGTGAGCAACCTTGAACACATTCTGATTTCTTTTAGCACTCCCTTTTTGTGATTTTGGTAATGAGGCCTGTAATATCATTTACAGGTTACCAGTGACAGTAGCGATGCACTTTACGCCTCAAGTAAAACTACTGAAGATAAAATCATTTCGTCTTCCGCCAGCAAGGTAAACTGACTTCCTGTCTTTCTTTCTTTGTTTCTCTGTCTCTGCTTATCTTTCTTTCACACACACAATTTCCTCTCACCTTCTGTCAAGATTATAATCCCTGATCATTTTTTGTATATCAGATATGAGTTACTTTTTGTCATGTCTATTAGTCTATATTTCATCTATCTGTATATGTAAAAAAAAAAAAAAAAAAACATTTAAGCCACAGCTGGCTTTTGTTGGCCTGTTTACATGCCAAACCTGCAATATGTTACTAAAAATGTATGTTTTATAGCATGCACAATTTTCATCCGTTCTAATTTCATTTCATCCAGCTCCTTAAATTGAACCCCAGAGCATCATTAGTTTTTATGAAAAGAAGATATGTGGTGTAGTTTTGGGTAGGTGTGTTTCCTGCCTTTGATTTATCTGCATATCTTATATCGTGGGTTATATCTTAGATGGTGGATGATACACAGTAGTAATTTCATGTAGTCATTGTAGTTTGACTCACAAATGAGGAAGGGGTTTTACCAAAGTGTAGGCAGTAGGTTCCTTTGACCTGCACAGAATGTTTTGTCCCAGAACAAAAGGATTGTTTTAAATTTAGCTGCTTATATTATGCACACACCAATGCCTTCATAAAATTTATAAGAACAGATCATCATTCGTTTATAAGAAATATATTTATGAATTATTTGACAGTCATCCACTATATTTATTCCACATACCATACCATTGGGAATTTCAAACATATAAACATTTTAAATTTATGGGAATTTTCATACAACCAAATGATTATTTTAGATGAAGATGCTTATATGTACATTTTCTTTTTTTAAGAATTCAAATTTTGTTTATTATGACCCTCGATGAACAAAACAATTCATTCTTAAAGTAATTCCATCTTCCCATGTTTCTCAAAATTACATTAAATTACATTTATTCATCATATTTGTTTTCTACATAATATACCATTAGGAAGGTCAAACAGACAATTTTGATTAAAATTGTCCAAATCTTTTTGAAAGTTCTTTGAATAGACATTACTCCATGTATCAGATCACAAAATTTTGCGTGCATTTTTGTTGCATGCAGTAGTTGTTTTTGTGTGTTTGTATTACTATAACAGTTCCTCCCTTCATTGTTTTGCATATGTTTTCATTTTGTTCACTCCATCCATATCCGTGTACGATTTAGTGAGGGTAGCGTGTCATTGTTGTAAAAGGGAAGCTGATGGCTGTATTCTGGTGCTCAGATACCCAGGTATCAAGGATTTGTTAAGCACAGTTCAGCGCAGGAAGAAAAGGCTGACCCAAAGGTAAAGCACACATGCGTCGGCTCTGATACAGGAGCTTTTGATCAGCTCAACCATGTGGCTTCCTTTATATCTCGTAAATTATTCATAAATGGGTGGTGTCTATACACATTTGGCTGTTATTTGGTTTGTGCTCCTTCCCATTGCTGTTATCACACGTGCAAGTGGAAGTTCATGTCCCAAGACAAAATTCCTGAGATGCAAAAAGTGCTTGTATGTGTAACGGTGCTAAACGTAGCCCATGGTTGAATTGGAACCATCTTGATATAGTAAACTGGCTATTGCAGAGCAGATTTAAGCTAATACACAATACAGATGAGATCAGTCTTTTCAAAAAGATTTAGAGCAAAGATACTGACCAGGCTTCTGCTAATCACCCAGTACTTTTGTGAAAATAAATGAATTAACACTTACTAACACCTTTTTATCAACTAGATTCAGAATGTATCATCTAACCTCTTGTTTTTGGATATCTCAAGTAAAACCTTTCTTTTGAAAATCGTCCTGTAAGTAATAGATCGATTTGTGAGTGGGTTGAATGACGCAGCATTTTTCTGAACGTGGGCCAGTTTCAAAATGGGCTTTTTAACAACCTACTGTTCTTGTAACTTATGTCAGATGTTCTTTGCTTTTAATCTTTTAACCATCTACTCAAAGGAATTCCCAGATAAATTTTACTTGAGAATGTCATGTTTTAAAACCACTTGGGCCAAAGGGAACTTATTTTTCTTTGATTTGTAGTATGTTCTTGTTCATTATGGCACCTCACTTTCGTACACATAACAGTTCATCTAAAATGGGCAGCTGTTGGTTCCAAGCTGAATCGTACATGCAGTGAGTTTACATGAACATAACAGATGATGCTTATTGTTCATTTTGATTGCATCAGATGAAATATGTCGCTTGTGGCCTTGTGATGGTATTAGAGTATGTTGATAATATTGTGACTTTCCCATAGGCCGGAGACAGAAGACCTGGTGAACCACTGGGGTCTCAGAAGAACAGAGGGTCTGTTCAAGTGTCTGAAGGGACAGAGGAGGGATTGAGTGATGGGAAAAACCTTCCCACCCCACTGAGGAGACCACTGGAGTTTGGCCTGGAGGATGAGGATGAAGGAGACTCGTTCTTTGATGATCCTCTTCCTAAACCTCAGAAGACCTATGGCTGGTAAGAAATCATCAAATATGGTTTCTCTTGTGGACCGTTAAAACTGAAAAAGTAACAGGAAGTCATTTTTTGACACAAGTGACAAACTGTTGGTATCGAGGACTAGGCATGTCACTTAAAAATAAAATGTAGTAATAAATGAATAGAAAAAAATCAAATAAATAAATAAAATAATTAATTTTAAAAAACACAGAAGTGTAAATATATAAATCACTGCCTAAATCGCAAATAACAGTGACAGTGTTTATTTAATTCATGTTTGAAATGTTAGTTAAATACAACAATAAAATACTACAAAAATGTACATTTATACAAATATTCCCAAGTGTGAATTGTTTAATGGCATGTTTTTTTTTTCATTTAAATGCAGAAAGAAAATCATTTAGCAAAGGGATAAAGAAAAGCAATTTGTTAATACTATATATATATATGAAAATAAAAATGAGAGTTTTAGCACATTTACCACAGTCCTAGTTTGACTTTCATCGTGGCAGCAGATTTTCATTCAGAGCTTTGAAAAAGAACCGTTTCAGTTCCCACATGTTCTACTGAGACTAAAAGGGCAAATAAAAATGAAATCATCTAAACCGCTGGCACCTTTGATTGTAATTTCAGAAGCATAGATCTGGGCTCTCTTTATGTTTTTGAAGCACATAACTGTAGTTAATTTTTTACTGTTTAAATATGACAGGCATCCACCCTTAAGTCATAGTTATAAATAAAGGCCTTAAATAACTGCTCTAAGATAAAATACAGAGAAGTGCTTTTATTTTTCTGACCTGTAATCTTCTCCTTTTCACTGTTGTCTCTTAATGCTGCACGTGAAAACAGTGGTTTGTCTTCAGCAGAGAAGCCTTATTCAGGGCAGAGGCATTCTGAAAAAAGCTATAGTCAGAAAGAGTAAGTACTTCCTGTTTTCTGAGTGTATTCGCATTTTGCTATGATTTTGACTATGACACATTAAAGGTACATTTTGGAGCTTTGTTGTATGTTGCACCTTGTCCCTCTTTTGCTTTTTGTTCCTACCACTCTTTTTTTTTTCTCCCTCCCTCTTTCTGTAACTGTGTCTGTGCTCTGTATGTGTTTTCCCCCTCGTGAGAAGTCAGCACTGGCAGAGGGAAGGGAGCCTTTCAGGGCGATCCTTATCCCAAATGAGGAGGGGCACTAGCCTCAATGAGTGAGTGTGCATGGAGTGATCACACTGCCATTCAAGCCCACTGCATCCATCTTAACCCATGGGTGCAAAATCAGGCTGTTTACTCCCATTGGGGCTGTTCATGTTCATACAGCAGCAGAATACTGTGGTCAGTCCAGTTTTACAGTTAACTACCTTTGCATTCACACACAGTACAGTTATAAACCAGAGTAACAGTTGCATTCAGTAACTGATCTGACTCCCTTAAATTTTCAAGACTCAGCCACATTTTAGAAAAGGGATGAAATAATGTCACGTGTAATAAATTGTCTACTGTATGTCTATGTTCAGTGTTATGAACATAGCCATTTTTCATAATTTCATCACTTTCGTTACAAGTGTTGATTGCAGCTAGGGCTTGACATTGTTCGCACAGACAATATATATTCATTATTTTTCAATTAATTATTTTTATGTATATATAGAATGTTATGAAATAAATATTTAATTTTATCATTATTTTCGTTACTATCATTATTTTTATTGTTTTCATTATTTTTCCACGATCTATTTTTTTAGCTGTTGATTCAATGGATGATACAAACTGTAATAAAATAATCAACAAAAAATTAAGAATCATAAAAATATCATGACATCCAGTACATATATATTTATACACACACACACATTCTGTATTTGGTCCGAATACAAAATGTAGGCGTTTTTCTCTCACCATCTGCGTAAAAATCCCCGTAATTTAATTGCAGTCCGAATCCACATCTCTGAGTTTATGAGAAGAAATCGGTTCAAAATTCGATGTTTAGTACCATTTTGACCACTGTAAAGTATTTACAAGAACAATATTTCATAACTGCTCCACCACAGCGAGTGGGAGCAGAAAGAGAAGAAAAGCATGCAAACATTCGAAGTGGCTCTTTATTATGTCAGCCGCTGGTATGCAGTACAATTTTAAAATGTGTATTATATACAGTTATTTATATACACAACTATATCGCATATAATTATATAAACATTATAGCACGTCTATTTTCCTATTTTTAAACAGGAGATTTAAATGATCAAATAATAAATAGGAATATATATGATAAAATATGCTTGGAGTAATAAGAATAAATTTTACATAAGGTGATATGGAAATGTATTTTTACAGACGTCCATAGGAGAAACAATTACCGTCCAAATAGGGCTAATGACAACATATGGCTGCTTATATTGCTTATGCTTTTTGTTTGTTATTAATATTGCCAAATAAATTTCAATGATGTTTACAATTTTGAATTATGCTTGTCTATTAATTACCCTGCCAAGATCTAGCGACGTCTCTGGTATGAACACAACAATTTGAGTCTCAACTTGACTATCATAAAGTTATACCGTAATGTTCAAACATTAACGCCATTACCTGATACTGTAAAAAAAGAAAATCCAGCAACTGATACCAAAAGTACATAGTACAGGGTTAGTGCAGTAACTACGACCACAGTTGTGTGTTTTTGACCTTTATCCTTCTCCTTTCTTTCCTTCTCTGCATTTGCTCTGTGTGTTTTCTGTGTATTTCTCTCTCTTTCCCTCTCAATGCCCCTGACCTTGTTCTTCTTGGTGTTATATGTATGTGTGGATGAACATACTCTTGCTCTGTCTGGCATCAGTCTGTCTGCTATAGGCAGTGATAAAGAGGGAGATGGAGAGGACATGCTCTCTGACTGTGGTAACAGGCCCAGCCCTGACTCTGAACCCAGGTGAGCTGGGCCATTTCCTGTCTGTCTCCTGCCATAACTTCCCTCTTCCTCCAATTCTCATATGGCTGTCAGTGCACTTCACAGAGTCTCATCCTGTCTGTTTTCCAGGAGAGAAGGTTTGGGCAGCAGTTTAGGAAAAGCATTCACGGCAGACACGCAGCTGAAGAGTGCGGGAGGATCTTCTGAGAGCAGCCAGAAAGATCATTCATCTGATAAAAACGGTAGCAAGCCATTTGTGAAATCAATCAAGATTTCTTTCTCAGATGATTCTGGATCGATCCAAAATTATACATGACCTTTCACTAAATTAAATAAAAAGCATGTAAAAAAAAACTGCAAATGAAGGGTTCATTGTAGCAACGTATGTATACCACAAAAGATCAACTGTGCATACAAAAATATGGCTTCAGAGAAGAAAAAGGCTGAATAAGCTTTATTTTACAATACCTTAAATAAAAACATCTAACATGAACAACATGGGGAAAAAACTACATTCAGTTATGAACTAAATATTTAAAGGGAATAAAAGTTTTTGCACATGAATTAGGCCAATCTGAACAGTTTCCATTACACAGAATGAGAGCTGCTTCGGATGTTATACATAATATTTTTTGTTTGTGGGCAGAGTTGACATATTTTAGTATGCCATTTATGCATAATCTTTACACATAATTTAACCCACTAAAGGTTTCTAAAAAAAAAAAAAGGAAAACATGAATCATCAGAGTGGGATTGTGACTTTCTGGATCGAAACTGAATCAACTCATGAGGTGCCTAAAGATTTCTATGAATTTGACACTAATATCTTTTCTCTGTAATTTCTGTCGTAGGTTCGTCTAGTTCTAAAGATAAGGGTGTAAAAGAGTTTCCCGTCCAAAGTGAGAAAACTGCATCCCATTTGCTGGGTAGGAACTCCTCAATAATACATTCAATTTTTGACTTGAACCATCAAATCAAACAACTCTACTCACTATCACATTCCTCATTTCTCCTTTTTAAAAAAATGCTTTGCAGATGATGATCTTTACTATGACGATGACTTCAACAGGTAAAGAATGTGCCCGTCAGATGTTTCAGATGTTATTTTTGCTCAGTCTGAATTCTGATGGTGTTGTCATCTCTCTCATTTCTCTTCAGTCATCGCTCTGAAAACTCTAAGAGTGAAGTGAGCATCGATGAGGAGATTGAGGAGGTGCCGATAGAGGGGCCTGACATCAGCGATAAGGTATTCTTCAAAAAGGTGCCATTACTTGTGATGACACTGCGTGTTTCAGAAGGAGTTTAAATGACTGTGGTTCTTGATCATTTTCAGATAAATTATTATTAACCTTGTAAAGACATGATTGACATTTATAATTCAGCATGAATGCAACATTGATGTGGTTATTCTTAATGTCACTTAATTATGGCCCCACTTTTCAAAAATCTATGTGAAGAGGGACAAATGTCAATAGATTGGCCTCATTGATAAGAATGCGTTGTGTAAAAGGCAAGAAGTGAGAGTGGCATGTTTGTAAATTGCAAATATGGGTACTTAAAGAGTCCCAATGAGGCAGTGAGAGGAAGTGACATTAGTACTCATAGTATAACAAAAAATAATAACCTTGACTGTGATTTTGGATCTTGTTGACTCCAATCTCATCATTTTATTTGGTTTCTCTCTCTCTCTTTTTTCTAGCTTGATGAAACCACTCAGGATGTGAGCGTCTCGCAGATAAGTTTGGGTGCCGACTACATGGAAGATGTTGCTTGACATCTAACTCAGTTCCTTATTTTATACTTTATGTATTTATGGATTTAGTTGACAATAAATAATTAATTACAATCTGACTGTTGACTCTTCCTGTTTTTCTTTATTGCCATTTTTAAAACCCGGAAGGACAGAAATGAAAGGATTGCAAATTGTGACTTCTTGATTTAAAATAATACCAGTCGTTGAGTTGTGTAACAGTTTTAATGTCAGTGAAAGTGTAGCAGACATCACAGTGAAATTAGTCTTCAAGACTTTTTGAACCATGCATTAAGTGCTCGGTTGGATATTTCTTTTTGAGGTGTAGCATCAACCTTTTACATGAAACCATAATCTAGACAGTGTGCGTGTGGCAGGCAGCTTTGATGGTCTCACACTCACACCTACATGTTCCTATAGAGCTCTCAGTGAAGTGCCACCCTCTGGTCAGTTCGGAAAATTGTCACTTATTACGCAGCTGTGCCCTACCCAAGTTGTCTTTCCTGATCAGGAACCAGAAGGAACAGAAACCTCTCACTGCTTTCTATTAGACTTGTTTGTGTAGATACTGGTAAGTCACTTCTTTTTTTCACTTCAGTCACGTTAAATTTTTAAGTGGAAATGTAAGTCAGTGCCTGTTTGTTAATACGTATGTATTTAATTACCCAGTTTGCAGATAAATTATTTATGTTAGTCTTGGTATGTATATATTTAAATTTGAAGATTTTAGTGTGCAGGATCTGTGATTAAGTGAGATTTGCAAACTGATATTGGTCCACTTAAGGTAAAAAAAAAATAGCTCAAAACTAATATATATATAGAGAGAGATAAATACATAGATAAATAGCATCGTCTTTTTTCATAGCAATGAATGAATGCAAAATTCTATATGCCAGTAACAAGTAAATACATGAACAAAAGAAATAACTGTTAAAACTTGTCTGGAAATATTTGTATGCTTCAATTCGGAGTTTAGTACATGTTAACTCAAAGATTCGTAGAAAAAATATAAACGTTGGACTCTGTGGTCGATTCTGTGTTAAGGTAAGGCATGTTATTCGCAATTATGTGTTGTAGCTGGGTTGTTATAGGTCTGCGTGACTCTCGATGTCTTAGGCCTAATTGAACGGAGGAATTATGGTATTCTTCTGTAGCCTGACGACGAGTAACTTTAACCGTTGTTCATGTGAACTCAAAGGCAGCCTGATGCTTTGTTTATAGACTGTGGGTGGCTGTCTGTTGTTTCACCCAGTGGGCAATTGATGTCAAAAAGATGCCAAATTGACATCAGACATTGACGTCAAAAAACAGGTCAAAAACGTAAATCAAATTGACGTCAAAAACTTGATGTCAATTTGACGTCCACACATGTCCTATTCTAGACCACCAAAATAACGACACAACAGTAAGAAATGTTTTATTTATCAAGATACAATTCCAAAATACAAATTTGAACTGGATTTTTTTATCCCCTGAAGGGACTACAGTCAATGTAAATCAAAGGTTAACTCTGCATGAAAAAAAGGCTTAAATTCATAGGTGGATTAACAACATATGGTAGATAAATGATGTAGATACACTACCAGTCAAAAGTTTTTTAAAGAACTCTCTTCTGCTTACAAAGCCTGCATTTATTTGATCCAAGTACAGCAAAAGCAATAACATTTTGAAATATTTTTACTATTTAAAATAACTGTTTTCTGTATTTTAAATGTAATTTATTCCTGTGATTTCAAATCTGAATTTCATCATTACTCCAGTCTTAAGTGTCACATGATCCTTCGGAAATCATTCTAATATTTTAATTTGCTGCTCAAAAAACATTTATTATTATTATTATTTTATTATGTTGAAAACAGCCGAGTTGATTTTTTCCAGCTTTCTTTGATGAATAGAAAGCTCAGAAGATCAGTAATTCTTAAATAGTAGGAATTCTTTAAAAAACATAAAAAATCTTACTGTTCAAAATGTTTTGACTGGTAGTGTAAATGCTAGCTTATACCTATTCAGAATCAGAACACAGATCAATCGCTGTCTGGCCCTTTTGGCGTCCCATACCCCCACATCTGTCGGGAGCAGACCGGAGATAATTCTTCAGGTATTTTTTAATATCAGCCTCTGACGATGATGGTTTTGACTGCTGTACAGCACCTGAATAAAGATAGAGAGACTTGTATCACTCATTTTAAGTCATTAAAATACAGTATACATATCTATGGCTGTTTTCCAGGACTTAAGTTTCAAAAAGTCAAATTCAAGTTTGACCCCCCCCTTAGCAAGAAGGTCACTGCAGATATTCTTTACAACTTAAAACTATGTGAAGCTAGATTATACAGTAACTAGTACAAGTACAAGTCAACCTGCCATACCAAAAACGACCACAGGGAGATGCCAAAGGACTGCATATGGCCACTATACGGTAGGGGTGTGTGATATATCTTGTCTGCGATAATATCGTAATTGTTGTTTTAGCTATGTGCAATTTGACATTATCGAGTATTTTGCAAAAACCAAACAAAACACCCCTACAGAGTGCACGCATTCATTACGTGAAGTCTAGACTAGAGCACGTGCGCATTAAGAATGTGTTGCATTCATCACGCATTCATTACGCTAGAGCACGTGCGCATTAAGAATGTGTTCTTTCACTGCAAGATTCAGTCTATTAAAATGCATTAAGACTGATCCCAAAATTCAAGATATGGGGCAGAAAATGTGTGTGTGTATACAGTATATATATATATATAATATGATATATATATATATAATATATATATCATTTCATATAGTTAAAATTACACGAAGAGTGCTGTTTTTTGTTCAAAAATAAGGATGATTGTGATATTGATTTTATACAACAGTTCAATAAACAGTAAGTTCATATTAAGAGACTTACGACCAACAAAAAATAATTCCAAACAGCTACAGCACTGTTTTTTGCGTCTCTGAGCATCAAGACGATGTTTAGCTCCTGAATGAATCAACCGTTAAATGATTCAGTTCAGTCAAAAAAAAGGCTTTATTAAAAGGTAAAATTGGCCATAAAAGGTAAAAATCAATTTAAACTTATTTGTAAAGATTAATTTCTATCACTGATGTGAACTAACCACACAGAATATGAAGAATATTAAAAACAGCAGCTGTCCACGGTAGTCAGATATCAGCACAATAACACACTCGGCAAAATATTGTCTAATTATCGTTATCGAAAAAATCCCAAAAAATATTGAGATATATTTTTTTTCAATATCACACACCCCTACTATACGGATCCATTCAGAATCACTAAACACACCAAAATACTAATGAAAAATGAAACCATTCTAAATGTGTGGAAACTCAGCGATCTGAAGGCGGCTCAATGTCATCAGTCAACATCTGGGTCCTCAGTCAGAACAAGCTTTTTGGAGCGTCTGATACCCATACGTACATAAACGTATTTTACATATGTCCAAAACACACTTCTTCTGCGAGCATCCGTTATAAAACACTCGCTGTACATTAATTTTGACAGCATTGAAAATTTATTTTTTTAAAAACTAAATATCTCCCTTTGGAGTGGAGTTTGAGATTTGTAACTTTCTAGATCTTTTTTATGCCCAAACATACACACTACACACTGACTAAAATTTAAAAAGTGAAAAAGCATAATAGGACCCCTTTAAGATTATTTACAACAGAACAGCAATGCATTTTATGGATGACCGTTTCGTGAACCTAGGAGAGGAGGTAATTCTGACTTTGCTATGACAATCTGGCACTTCTGAATCAGCTACTGTTTTGTTATTAGTTTAAGTATTTGCTATTGACTGTTCAAATGCTGAGTTTTGCACATCATGTGTGTGTGTGTGTGCGAGCGTGCGTGTGTGTGTGAGAGAGATCAGCTTCATCACTGAGTCTGTCACGCGACTCTGTTCCCCTTTCGGGCTTCAACTGATGGTAAAACTAATGACATTATTTACTGTCTTTACATTTATTTTGAAAGATGAAGCTCGCGATTATGGTAAGGGGCGTTACATTTCCGACGAGTGCTTGCGGTGTTCGGCCAATCACAATGCACTGGGTCAGCTGGCCAATCAGAGCAGACTGCGCTTGTTGGAAGGAGGGACTTTGTAGAAAACGAAGCGTTTGAGAGAGGCGGGGCATAGAGGACCAACAATAATGTTTTTTGACCATTAAAGCATGTCAACATATTCTGTTACACCAAATACACAAAATAATGATCTTTAAAAAAGCATCATATGACCCCTTTAACAAATTAGAAATATAAGATGGTAATTTACCTAACAGAGCCTTTATGATGAATAAATACATATTTAACTTTCTCCTTTGATGTAAAGATAATCAATTTTGTTGTTGTTTGAATTGAATTCAAGCAATTGACGCTGAATTGCCGCTAATGTAAAAGTGAAAATAAAATACGGTGCTTTTACAAGCTATTTAAAAGCGAAGGAAAGCGAGGAAAAGAGGAAAAACTTAAACTAACAAAAAACAAACAACTGCTTGACGCCGAATTGAAAGTGCTTTTACAAGCTTTTTAAAACTCAGTCGAAGAAAGAACAGTATTACTATTGGCCTGGCATAGTTATACTGATCATCAGATTCTTCTTTCCTTCATCAGTCAGTTGCCCTTCCAGATTCTTGAGCTCATGCCTGCTTTTCTTCTCCAGGTGGAACTGAGAGTCTGGGATATATATATATATATATATATATATATATATATACACATTTATCCCATTTGCAAAAACACCACTGTCAGTAAGAAAATATACTTACTTCCATTATCTAAAGGGAATAGATCACTGCCCTCTCGGTGCTGGTTCCCCCTACATGGACTATGGGACCAATGATGAGAAGAGCGCTGGCGTGGAGTACGAGGCTGGCGAAAGTCTTCAGATTTACAATGTTCTAGAGTAAATTTGAGAATTTGAGAATTTGAGAATTTTACAGTTTTCGAAACATTTTCTTAGACACATGAAATTTGCAGAGATCAAACATTCACTCTTATGGTATGTCTGCTGAAAACTACTACGTTTCTATGTATATTGTAGCAAATAACGTAAATGGCATTGAAATCTGAGAAATTCGAAAAGGCCAGCAGCAATCCCTGAAAATTAATGTCTGGCGTTTAACAATTTTCTAACGTAAACAGTTGATACTGCTGAATTGCCTCGTCATGTTTAGCAGCTTACCTCAGCTTCTGTGAACGCTAAATCCCGCCTTCTTAAATTTGATTGGCTATTTCAAATATTTTGACATTGACGAACGCTTTTGAGCCGCTGCACCAGAGATTGTCTTACTGCCTTTGGCTGCACTGAGCCAGAGCATGCAAAATTAATTATAATTTTTTAACTCAAGTTGGCTGCGCGGTCCATTCGTCTGGGTCGATGGAGAGATATAGACTACGTACATTAACTCATTATATTTACGCACAGGGAAGGTGCTCCCGATGGTCAGTCCGCCACTGCTATTAGAGTCATAGAGACGCTAAAAATTTTATTTAGCATTGATATACACTAAGAAACTACATTTATAACATTATTATGATTTTTAATTAAATAAGAGTGAAAAGGCATGTTTCTGCTTAATCACAGTTTGAACAAGAGGAAACCGCATTTTAATTTCTGGGATAAATAACGAAAAAATGAATGGACGCAAAAGTACACGGACCCCCGTGAAGGCAGGGTGATGTTCGTTGCTTAAAATTGAAAATAATCTAAGCTGGTGGAGAGATTCAAAAATTAAAACGCGGGGCTCTTATTCCAAACACAAACGGTTAGCATCCCCTTGACATTTCAAAATCATTAATGTTAGCCTTATACTAACATGCTTACAAGTGACATATAACATTTCTCTGTTCACACTGCCACAGTTAGCTTCATAGTATTATAGGCCACAGTATACTGGCGGGAAATTAGAATACACAAAAAATAACAAAAATAGTCATTGCACAAAGTCATATTTTATTAAAACACGATCTTCTATGTTAAAAGTTACCCAATATAACTTGTTTTATATTTCATGAGATGTTAACACATTTACTCACCTGATAAAACGTGTCAGAGGACCGCTTTCTTGAAGCTTCGACTTCAGAATGGACCAATTTTCACAAGACAGTGATGACCCAGGATCTCAATCCTCCAATTTTTTTTATATTTTCTTTTTTTTATTTGTGTACAATTATAACACCATATATTTAAAATATATTACATTTGCATCAAATTAAAAAATAAATATATATATATATATATATATATATATATATATATATATATACTGTATATATATATATAT